TGTTTACCATTTCCCCGTTGTCCACCATTCTTGGGCCTGATGATAATGAAGATTTGACACTCTGCCCTGTTATGGCTCTACACGTTTACCTTGCTGCCTCCAAGGATCGTCGACGGCTACGGAAGCGCCTCTTCCTACCCTTGTCGACCGCTTCAAGAACTGAGGTTTCCCGGACCACATTGGCCTTCTGGATGCGTGCCACGATCCTGCAAGCCTACACCTTTGCAGGGTTGCCTCCTCTAGCCTCTTCCAATCCTCATGAGACTCGTGCACTAGCCTCTACGATGGCCCTCCTTAGCAACTGCTCCTTGACCGCTATCATGGAAGGTTGCTTCTGGCGTTCTGATACAGCCTTCTCTTCACATCACCTGCGAGACCTGTCTGTCACGGATGTCCAGGGACTACACCAGTTCGGACCTCTTGTACTGGCTCAGCAGCTTACATCGGCCCAGCAACGCAGATGAGGGACGGTTCCTCATTTGCGTTACTACTTCCTTGTTTATACTGAATAAAAGTTGAACTGGATCTCAACCTTTTGTTCTCATTATATGGGTTTAAGAACTACTTCATTTGGCCTCCATACCAAGGCATCGGAATACGGCCACCTAGTGTGGCCCTACGGACCTGAGGCACAATCAGTATGTCAATGCAGAGGTGTTCGACATTCATGCTTACTGACCTCTACTCCACTAAGCAATTACGTCAGTGAAGTGTGACACTCCCGAATTCCAGTGGATTTTGTTGCGTTCTGCCTCCAAAGTTGCCGGGCACATCCTTTGATTAAGCTTAGGCAAAGGAGTGAGGGTCAATTTGATGGTGCCCAGAACTGAACGTTAAACCTTGGAGATGCTGAGTTGTGTTTCTCTTTCACCCACCTCGGTGTCTGGGGGGGCCTTCTTGAAGCAGGGGCTGGCCCGATTCTAGTTGCAAGACTTTAATTTTTGGGGTACCTTGTAAATCGTGGCAAGGCGAGGCCTACTTGCCGAGTTGCGTCCCTTGTCTTGTACAAGGTTGCGGCCTAACACCACATCGCTCGGGAGCACCCATCTCCCTGGGAGTCGTTGTGCTTAGTAAGCCAAGGGGTTCCGGAGAACCCACTACAAGCATAGCAGTTGCGTGCGTGCGTAACAGGCCTCCCTTGTACATCGCTATATACGGTTGTCATGAGTCCACACAGCTCCAACACCAGCTGTTTGCACTGTCCAGACAGAAGGGTAATCTGCGGCCCGCCGTCCAACCGTCGGATAAGTGCAAGTAGTGAGATAGGATAAGTTTGTAAATTTGGAAATTATGATATAAATTGTATATTTATATACTTATCCTATCTCACGCGATGGATGCCCGCCCGGGCCTCCCCACTACTCAGATTACAACGTTGGCTCCAAGATGAGAATGATCATTCAAGGTAGTCACGTGGGCAATTAGTGGAGCATGCTGCAAGCTTTATTAGGAACTAGGAAGCTAATTAAGGAGAGCAGCATGGAGTGCACGGGCGAATGGACAAGGAGGCCTATGGAAAAAAGTTTAGTCGTTCCACTAAAAGTCTAAGCAAGAGAGAGGTGCAAGTCGTGAGATAGGATAAATTGCTGACTCCCCCTAGAAACATTTGTACAAAATTGATGACCCCCCTACCTCCCCAGAAGAAAATGAGTGACCCCCCCTTAAAATCATTATCACCCCCACTAGCCATAAATTATGAAGGGTCCCTTAAGGATGTCTCCTGGGTCATGTAAGCATGTGATGTGTCTCTTTCTGTCCACAGTCTGCTTGTCAGTTGTTAACCTCTTTGACATCTAGTCACCATTATGAGGTCAATGGAACAGTTACTTTGATCCCAACTTTGGTGTTGGAATCACAGGGCCACCGTGGCAGACACATTGGAAATGCCATTTCCACCCATTACTTGGCCATTTCTGCATGCATCATTGTTAAATTTGATATGCAGACTATCCAAGTGTGCAGAATAATATAGTATGACCAGAAATTATTGAGAATTTTAGGAATATGTTTAATTGGATTTCTAGTATAAACAACCTTGACCAGCTTTCAAGTGCTTGGTTTCATTCAAGAGAAACAACTCTGTTAATCCTTTGTCATTAGTTTGTGAAGAGTTATCCCCCTTTGTTTACTTGCTAGCAGACGACATTTTCAGTGATCCTCAGTATGGATGATTTAGAGAAGAGGAAGTTGATTTTAGAGTATTATAACAAGGACATCAGATCAGCTAAAGTGATTTCAGGTAGAACAGGCATCCCTTTGTCCACTGTTTATCGCGTTTTGAAAAATATTGCAAATGGATATGGCATTAAGCACCAGGGAGGCGCAGGTAGACCCAGAAAATTGACTGTTGGTGACAGGAGGCGTCTTGGTATTCTTGTTTCTAAAAACCAACAAAGGAGTTTAGAAAACTTAAGGCTGGATATGATTGATAGAGGAACTGTGGCTGTCAGTAAGGAGACAATTAGAACTGAGCTGCATGCAATGGGTTGGCAGAAAAGTGGAGGAATTCCATCACCGATCATGAAACCTGAACAAAGGGAGCGATGGTTGAACTGGTGCTTACAGCATAGAAATTTTAACTGGGACAATGTGATTTTCTCAGATGAAAGTTCTGTGTGGCTGTTTCCTAATACACTGAAATTCTGGACAAACTCAAAAACCTTTGTATCAACGCCCAAAGTACAGTCCGAAATTTAACGTCTGGGGTGGCATATCTGTGTTAGGGGCAACGCCCCTCTGTGTATTTGAAGGGAATATGAACAGTGAGCGGTACACAGATATTCTCTAGGGACATTTACTTCCATCTGCTCACGTGTTCTATAGAAATTTATGGATTTTCCAGCAGGACAACGGCCCAAAACATCGTTCAAAGCATTCAAAGGCCTGGTTTCGGACCCAAAATATGACATTATTAGACTGGCCAAGCTATAGCCTTGATCTAAATCCTATAGAAAATGTTTGGGGACTTATGAAGGAAAGTGTCAATAAGAAAAATCTGACAAATATTGCTGAAATGAAAGAAGAGGTGGTCCGATATTGGGACAGCATGGACCACGACTTTCTAACTTCTTTGATCAGTAGTATGCCCCACCGCATTGAAGCCTGCATTGCTGCCCATGGTGACTTAACAAAATACTAACTGTTCACCTGTCTTTGAATCTGGAGTTATGTTCTGCTAATATTCACATTTAATACGTGAGTAATGAGTGGAAAAGAAAAAAAAATTACAATCTCTAAATTCTCAATAATTTCTGGTTGTACTGTATATATAATTGTTTTCGCAGATTTTGACTTCGGATGCACCAACCTACTACCTTTGTCCTTCACTTACCATTTTCAGTTGTGACTGAATGTTTTACATAATCTCTGGCACTACAAGGCCTATGGAGCTGTGTATGAATGATCGCAGCTATGGTTTCTCTTGTATTCCTCGGGCAGTGGGGTAGCCTAAGGGTTAAAGTATCCCCTCCTCAAGCTGAAAACCCGGGTTCGATTCTCCACATGGGTACAATCTGTGAAGCCCATTTATGGTGTCCCCCAGCCGTGACATTGCTGGAATATTGCTTAAAGTGGCATAAAACTCACTCACACTAATATTGCTCACAGAATACCAGTAAAAAAGTATTGCCAACAATATCTTTTCTTCTTTATGTAGGTAAGATGCAGAACCTTGTAGCTCTGTTGTCTCGTTACTCCACTCTGCTGTTGAATATGCAGTGTTAAATAAAGCTGATTTACACAATATTGTAAAAATCACATGCAGATAGATGGGACTATTTTGTATTTCAGCTGGTCATTTGAAATAGGGGCATCGGTTGCATTAGGCAGCACCCAAACAGACTATGTACAACTTGTTGAAAAGCTGACACCTATGATTTTCACAAAATACCATAGGTGCTGTTCCAAATGTCTATGTGTATGTATTTTCTCATTCTCTTCCCACAGAGGTTACTCCTGTCATATCTTCCTATGTAACCTCTGTTCTAATACGGCCCTTTCATGGTGTGAGCGTTCAAGACTCGTGATTGGAGGCAATCAGATTTAGTTGTGCAATCAGCGACGTTGTTTCAAAAGTGATCATTCGCAAGGCCTCGGTAATTTCCGTATGCTTCGAGAAAACTAAACCTCTTCCCCTGCGCGATGAGCAAACGTTTCTTCTAGACAGAACTCAGTCATGTTATTGCGGATCAGTGGCGTCTCCATCGCCCTCGTTGACAACGGACAAGCTAGCCATTAAACGTCTTGTGTGTAATATCAACACAAGTCCCTGGCAGATGGGGGATATTTGTGGCCCCACATTTGCTTGTGTTAGTCAAGTTGAATCTAAGTCGATGGAACACGTGTTCTGATTGGATAGGAAGAAGGGAGATAATTCGTGTTACGATCTTTTGCCGCTAGGGGATTTTACGAGAACCGGGAAATATGGCCGTATTAGAACAGAGGTTCGTAGGAAGATATGACAAGTAACCTCTGTGGGAAGAGAATGGTATTTTCTATACCTTTGAATCGTCAGCCTTTTCACTCATGCAAGCCATGACAAAAAAACCTGTGTCTTCTCAGCCAGTTCACATGGTAGAAGTCAGATTTAGAGTTACCTCCCTTGGTTAACCCGGTTACACAGTGAATGAAGCGTCTGGCAAATCGCTACTAATGACAATTTATCATCTAAATTCCAAGTGCATAAACACAGTATGCAAGAGTCTCAATACTTGCTACATTATTTGACATATTATATTCTAGCTCATGAAGTAGGTAAGTTTTTGCACTTGCTTTTGATTTATAGGATCCTTACATTTGTAATGTGGTATTGTAAGCTTTATGGCAGTGATAAAGAGGGTGTTTGTTTAGTAATTAATACTGGCTGATTTGAACAGAGCAGCATACATCTGGGAAGGCTGTTGATTAATGAGGTGAGGTGAAGGCTTCTATGTCAGGATACTGGGTGGGATGATAATGTGATTAATGCCCTAATTCCTCATTCTCTCCTTTTGATTTTGTAGAACACAGAAGAGTCTTTGACCTTAAGTTTGAAGTACTTGAGGGACATTCAAGCAGCACGATTCAGGCCGTCAGGTCGTAGTCTGTCGTTCATTGCAGCCCTCGCTGTGAACCAGGTAAAGTGTCATGTTGCTTCATCACCTGAGTTAAGCAGTTGTGTGTATACTCTCATTGTGGATCATGGCCTATCAACAGCCTTATGTCAGCCTCTTTCATGTTTCTTGCTGCAAGCATGCGTTTGAAACAGTAGTGATCAATGTTTAAAGTCTCATTCAATTATCTGTCAGTGACTTTATATCTATATTCTGTTGTGAATTTTCATGGTATGACCTCAGAAATAAATATGATTCTTCCCAAGTCTCCCTCACATTTGATTTCCACGACATGTATTAGAAATATTCACTGGTTTGAATTTGTTCTATGTTTAGAAAGTAGCCTGATCTATCCGGGGAGTAATGAAAAATACCTTTTACTGTTTAAGAATTTAGTTGTCACTGTAAGTGATATCATTTCTATCATCATTAGTATTTGGTAATCAGTGATAACACAGCTTCTGTTTCACAGGGAAAGCCAGCGACTGGCTTGGAGGTGTGCACATCTGCCCCTAACCACAGGATAGTTGGGGTGGTGAATATTAAGGTGAGAGTGATGGAAATAGCATTTGGAAGTATTTGTTATGGACCATGTAACAGACTAATTGATTTTGACCCTCAAATAAGCATTGTTTGTCATAGTTTGAAGGATTCAACTTCATGGTAGGAACATTAGTTTGAACGAGACATTCTTGATGGTGGTGGTCCAGTAGGAGACATATTCAGTTGGGAAGTGTCTCCATGTCTTGCATTCTTCTTGATTATGATGCCAGATTTCTCATGACCATACATGATTATTTGGGAGGTTGCAATCATCACTGATCTATGATCTGGTCCCACACATGCTGTTACTTTAAAAACATTTAAAGCTATATTAAACTTCATAGGTGACTCAGTTCATTGACATTGATGACATCTTGGCAGATTGTACTACTGTATACTCTTGGACAACATCATGCTAACAAGTTCTACCATGTTTCTGAATTTGGTTGCTAAGCCGTATTTTCCTGATATTGGATTCAGTTTAGGACACATCAATAGTAACAGAGAATGAAGATTGTTGTAACTGCATGCATTGTCTTCCTTCTTTAGATGATCTGTTACGCACAGTTGGACAGAGTGGAGGAGGTGGTACCATGGTTCAGATACCTTCTCAAGGATGAAAGAGCCAACCTCACATGGAAAAATAGGATATTCTCTGAAACAGTGAGTACCTGGCAACATAACTTTCCTGTCAGACAGTGTAGATGCTGACTGTACAGGTGTGCCTTGTGACACAGTGTAGATGCTGACTGTACAGGTGTGCCTTGTGAGACAGTGTAGATGCTGACTGTACAGGTGTGCCTTGTGAGACAGTGTAGATGCTGACTGTGCAGGTGTGCCTTGTGAGACAGTGTAGATGGTGACTGTGCAGGTGTGCCTTGTGAGACAGTGTAGATGCTGACTGTACAGGTGTGCCTTGTGAGACAGTGTAGATGCTGACTGTACAGGTGTGCCTTGTGAGACAGTGTAGATGCTGACTGTACAGGTGTGCCTTGTGAGACAGTGTAGATGCTGACTGTACAGGTGTGCCTTGTGAGACAGTGTAGATGGTGACTGTACAGGTGTGCCTTCTGAGACAGTGTAGATGCTGACTGTACAGGTGTGCCTTGTGAGACAGTGTAGATGCTGACTGTACAGGTGTGCCTTGTGAGACAGTGTAGATGCTGACTGTACAGGTGTGCCTTGTGAGACAGACAGTGTAGATGCTGACTGTACAGGTGTGCCTTGTGAGACAGTGTAGATGCTGACTGTACAGGTGTGCCTTGTGAGACAGTGTAGATGCTGACTGTACAGGTGTGCCTTGTGAGACAGTGTAGATGCTGACTGTACAGGTGTGCCTTGTGAGACAGTGTAGATGCTGACTGTACAGGTGTGCCTTGTGAGACAGTGTAGATGCTGACTGTACAGGTGTGCCTTGTGAGACAGTGTAGATGCTGACTGTACAGGTGTGCCTTGTGAGACAGTGTAGATGCTGACTGTACAGGTGTGCCTTGTGAGACAGTGTAGATGCTGACTGTACAGGTGTGCCTTGACTGTACAGGTGTGCGTTGTGAGACAGTGTAGATGCTGACTGTACAGGTGTGCCTTGTGAGACAGTGTAGATGCTGACTGTACAGGTGTGCCTTGTGTGACAGTGTAGATGCTGACTGTACAGCTGTACCTTGTGAGACAGTGTACATGCTGACTGTACAGGTGTGCCTTTGCTGACTGTACAGGTGTGCCTTGTGAGACAGTGTAAATGGTGACTGTACAGGTGTGCCTTGTGTCAGTGTAGATGCTGACTGTACAGGTGTGCCTTGTGAGACAGTGTAGATGCTGACTGTACAGGTGTGCCTTGTGACAGTGTAGATGCTGACTGTACAGGTGTGCCTTGTGAGACAGTGTAGATGCTGACTGTACAGGTGTGCCTTGTGAGACAGTGTAGATGCTGACTGTACAGGTGGCCGAGACAGTGTGATGCCTGACTGTACAGGTGTGCCTTGTGAGACAGTGTAGATGCTGACTGTACAGGTGTGCCTTGTGAGACAGTGTAGATGCTGACTGTACAGGTGTGCCTTGTGAGACAGAGTGTAGATGCTGACTGTACAGGTGTGCCTTGTGAGAAAGTGTAGATGCTGACTGTACAGGTGTGCCTTGTGAGACAGTGTAGATGCTGACTGTACAGGTGTGCCTTGTGAGACAGTGTAGATGCTGACTGTACAGGTGTGCCTTGTGAGACAGTGTAGATGCTGACTGTACAGGTGTGCCTTGTGAGACAGTGTAGATGCTGACTGTACAGGTGTGCCTTGTGAGACAGTGTAGATGCTGACTGTACAGGTGTGCCTTGTGACACAGTGTAGATGCTGACTGTACAGGTGTGCCTTGTGTGACAGTGTAGATGCTGACTGTACAGGTGTACCTTGTGAGACAGTGTAGATGCTGACTGTACAGGTGTGCCTTGTGAGAGATGCTGACTGTAGATGCTGACTGTACAGGTGTGCCTTGTGACACAGTGTAGATGCTGACTGTACAGGTGTGCCTTGTGTGACAGTGTAGATGCTGACTGTACAGGTGTGCCTTGTGAGACAGTGTAGATGCTGACTGTACAGGTGTACATTGTGAGACAGTGTAGATGCTGACTGTACAGGTGTGCCTTGTGACACAGTGTAGATGCTGACTGTACAGGTGTGCCTTGTGAGACAGTGTAGATGCTGACTGTACAGGTGTGCCTTGTGTGACAGTGTAGATGCTGACTGTACAGGTGTGCCTTGTGTGACAGTGTACATGCTGACTGTACAGGTGTGCCTTTGCTGACTGTACAGGTGTGCCTTGTGAGACAGTGTAGATGCTGACTGTACAGGTGTGCGTTGTGACACAGTGTAGATGCTGACTGTACAGGTGTGCCTTGTGTCAGTGTAGATGCTGACTGTACAGGTGTGCCTTGTGAGACAGTGTAGATGCTGACTACAGGTGTACAGTGTGATGCCTGTACAGGTGTGCCTTGTGTGACAGTGTAGATGCTGACTGTACAGGTGTGCCTTGTGAGACAGTGTAGATGCTGACTGTACAGGTGTGCCTTGTGAGACAGTGTAGATGCTGACTGTACAGGTGTGCCTTGTGTGACAGTGTAGATGAGTACAGGTGTGTAGATGCTGACTGTACAGGTGTGCCTTGTGAGACAGTGTAGATGCTGACTGTACAGGTGTGCCTTGTGAGACAGTGTAGATGGTGACTGTACAGGTGTGCCTTGTGAGACAGTGTAGATGCTGACTGTACAGGTGTGCCTTGTGAGAAAGTGTAGATGCTGACTGTACAGGTGTGCCTTGTGAGACAGTGTAGATGCTGACTGTACAGGTGTGCCTTGTGAGACAGTGTAGATGCTGACTGTACAGGTGTGCCTTGTGAGACAGTGTAGATGCTGACTGTACAGGTGTGCCTTGTGAGACAGTGTAGATGCTGACTGTACAGGTGTACCTTGTGAGACAGTGTAGATGCTGACTGTACAGGTGCGCCTTGTGAGACAGTGTAGATGCTGACTGTACAGGTGTGCCTTGTGAGACAGTGTAGATGCTGACTGTACAGGTGTGCCTTGTGTGACAGTGTAGATGCTGACTGTACAGGTGTGCCTTGTGAGACAGTGTAGATGCTGACTGTACAGGTGTACATTGTGAGACAGTGTAGATGCTGACTGTACAGGTGTGCCTTGTGACACAGTGTAGATGCTGACTGTACAGGTGTGCCTTGTGAGACAGTGTAGATGCTGACTGTACAGGTGTGCCTTGTGTGACAGTGTAGATGGTGACTGTACAGGTGTGCCTTGTGAGACAGTGTAGATGCTGACTGTACAGGTGTGCCTTGTGACACAGTGTAGATGCTGACTGTACAGGTGTGCCTTGTGTGACAGTGTAGATGGTGACTGTACAGGTGTGCCTTGTGAGACAGTGTAGATGCTGACTGTACAGGTGTGCCTTGTGTGACAGTGTAGATGGTGACTGTACAGGTGTGCCTTGTGAGACAGTGTAGATGCTGACTGTACAGGTGTGCCTTGTGAGACAGTGTAGATGCTGACTGTACAGGTGTGCCTTGTGAGACAGTGTAGATGCTGACTGTACAGGTGTGCCTTGTGTGACAGTGTAGATGCTGACTGTACAGGTGTACATTGTGAGACAGTGTAGATGCTGACTGTACAGGTGTGCCTTGTGAGAAGCACCAAGTACCTACAATGTCATCCTGTAGCTGTAAAATCCACTGTGAGCTATCTATACCGTAAATTATTACTGGATTAAGGATACTGATTGAAATAAGATGTGATTTTGCAAGTACTGGTATGATTCAAAAGGTTATGTAACAAGAATTTGAAGTAAATGTGATTGATTTTGAACAAATATCTTTGAATGGTAGCAGATAGAGGTTTTGCAAAAATGTCTTGTTATGTTTGACATGTGATTATCATCCATGAGGTTAAAGGTAGGGAATTCTAGTTTGCATTATCGTGTTGAAGTATGTTATTCCTGTGAAGAAAGGTCCCCATAACCCCAAGTGTTTGTAAGAGGTGCCTGAAAATGTTTGTAGCATTGTGTGACCAGGGTGTCATTTTGCAAATAGATCTTAGCCGTAAGGCTATAATATCTGCCATACCTTAACATATACGCACCACAGTCAACGGTTAGGGTTCTGTTGTACGATGGCACATTGATTGCTTGTACTGACAACTGACGACTCACTGTACTGATAACAACAATTTGAACTCTCCTCACAGATCAGTGCAGTGGAAGAGGCGTTGACGAGAGGCAATGTGGAGCTGAAGCAGCATATCTTGCCCCTCATTGACAGTCTCCGGGCAGATGGCTTCATCAGGAACGACCCGCTACGAGCCTTCTTAGAGGCACCAGTCACCAGGATGTTGAGGACTTCGGACAATTTCCAGCAGCGTAATAGATCATTTAGCTTCAGTGGTCCAATCAGACAGCATGGAGAGCCAAGGAGATTTCAATAAGTCATTTTGAGGGAAATGTGAAAGATGTGGTCCGTCTGTAGAACAAGAGTGTAAGAAGAGAAATGACACTGTAGAAAGTCTTAGACTGCTCACACATAGAGGACACCTTGCGTTTTGATGAGTGTGATAACCGTCTTCTTTCGTCTAACTTCTGTGATGGAGAATCATAAGTGCAATGTCTGTCACCTTTCCATCTATTGCTTCTAACCACATGTATATCACTTGCCAGGATATATAAATGTGTGTCTCATGTCTCAAGATATATCATGAAAATGAGTGATGTGTAAATACCACATTCAGAAAACAAGACACTTCATTATTTGAAGAGACCATGCCTCATCTCAGTAAATTTGGTTTGTAGAATAAAGTATGTTAGTTTTGTGGCATGCTCTGTATTAGTGTTTATTTAAGCTTGTATTTTCTACCTATATTCCCCAAAACTTCGATAACTGTGCACAGTTGTTTAAGTGACGACAGCTAGGTGCTTGTAAAGGTAGAAAATTGTGTCACCTTCTGTAACTTGTCATCCTATGACCAAAGGGAATTGAGACCATGTTTTGTCCACATCCTCAGATTAGTGTTTGGGAGAAGAGAAGAATCCTAGTGATTTCATTTGTTACAGCAGCCAGAGTAATATGTGTCCAGGAAATTATACCCTTATGTATTCCTCAAAGTTTCATCACCCCATTTTGTATGAGGTAATGTTTACTTGCCATACATTCTGTTGTACTGTGGGTGAAGATTGTGTGATTGTGTCAGAACGAGGTGTCACCTCATGGTGAAGTAGTGATATCATTATGTGTTGAATGACAGGGAGACTTCAGGGACCTGTTCTAAGTATGCATTTAACATTCATATAAGCTTTGTTAATTCATTTGACAGAATAAACTATTGTGTGAAGTATGTTTGTAATGGTTTTGGTTTTACATTACTGGGACCACAAGATAAAGATTGAAGAGATGTGAAGGTGATTGATAATTCTTGAGTTTGTGATTTTGGTGTCTGTTCATGATTTATAATATAACGCTGGAAAACATGTTACTGTGCTTCATATAATATAATTTAAATTAAAATCCATTTAGTCTGAAACTGAATAATGCTGCTTTCAATATATATACAAATTAACAAATTAATGTTAATTATAACATTTTACTTTGATTAAATACCGGTGAAGATCCTGGTTAGAATTGGTCTTCAGCAACCCATGTTTTTTGTAAGAGTTGACTAACGGAATTTGGGTGGTCAGGCTCCTGACTTGATTGACGTCATCATATCCCAACTGCGTAGATCAATGCTCATGGTGTTGATCACTGGATTGGCTGGTCAAGCCTTTATTATTTGCAGACCGCCGTCATATAGCTGGAATATTGGACCCTTGAAGATCCGGGGTAGAATAGGTCTTAAGCAACCCATGCTTGCCACAAAAGGCAACTATGCTTGAGGTTAGAGGCAACTAACGGTGGTCAGGCTCGCTGACTTGGTTGACACATGTCATCGGTTCCCAATTGCGCAGATCGATGCTCATGCTGTAGATCAGCATGTTCCAGACTCGATTATTTACAGACCGCTGCCATATAACTAAAATATTGCTGAGTGCGGCGTAAAACTAAACTGACTCACTCACTGGAATATGTTTGTGAGCGACCTTAAACAAGAAACAAACAAAAACTCTGATTAAACCAAAACTGAAGTTGGAATGTGACAACAATTTACTTGCAATATGAGAGGAATACACAAAAACGTGAAAATCAAACAATGCCAAAAAGTATGGTCACTAAAACTATGCCACCCATCTTATGGTCACAATTCTGAAAGAATGATGATGACCACTTGTGACCACATCAGTACCTAGTGCTGCCAGTCTCACGGATAATATTTGCCAGTCTCCTCATCATAATGGCAAAAACAAACTCGAACTCACAGCATCAGAATCTTCTATCATTCATCATGGAGTATCTGCGTCAAATCCTTCCTACAAAACAGGAACAAGAGGATCTGAAGTTCGAACGTAGTGTCCAAGATAGTACCAAAGATGTTAATGGGCGATAACGGCTTGAGAACAGTGAGGTCTGGCATGTCATCCATGGATATCTGACGAGTGGCAAGGGATGGTTATCAAACCGTGGCACGTTGGTACTTCATATTGATAACCCTGAACTTTGAGTGTCCCACATGCTGTAATGAGATCCAAACTGCAGTGACACGAAACGTAACCCCACACCAGCTCTGAGCCACCTTCAAAGGACCATGTGGTGATTTGCTTCGTTAGACGTCTTCATACGTGACAACGATCGCCGGTACCATGTAGAAGGTAGAAACTTTTCATCAGAACCCTATGCCACGTCCTGAAGTTGCGGTTTTTTTGGCACCACGCAGGACGTTTCAGTTCCTGTGCCTATCTGTGAAGAACTGACATCTGATGGGACGACGTTCTCACAGACCAGCAGCCTGCAGCCTAATCCTGACGGCGCTGGTGGGAGTCGGATTCCACTATCCATTGCCAGTACAGTGCTTCGTCGTAGGTCATGGAACAGCATCTTGCCAGACGAATTACTACTGGTTCATCTCGGTCAGTGGTCTTCTTCTGTCTTCCAGGCCTTATACGACGCTTTACAGTGCACTCTGTCAAACTCGGACTCTGTCTTTCTCGGATTGCTGTATAAACAGGACTGAACTCACGGTCCCGGCGTAATCCTTCTTTGTTGTCATAATGAAAAAGTTCTGTATCTCGGACTCTCATTATTTCGGACTTCGGACCAAAGTGTCGGCCCGATAAGGTAGTTACATGTAAAAACATTGCTATATAATTCGGACTGAGCAGGAAGTCCGCTTGGCCAATAAACCCTGAATAAACATTCCGTTGATTAGTTTGTGTATTTATTTACTTAGCAGGAAGTCCGCTTGGCCAAGACCGCGTCATCTAGCGGTGAAGGCTTATTTACCTTTGATGCGACTAACACCAATTGTAAACTATAATTGAGCCGATCATGTCAACTCAGTGTCAATGTCACTATGTAAGAAGCGATTTTATTGGATACAGATTGGTTTCTAATGACGCTTTTTCGCCACCGTCTGCTATAAGGGTCGTAATTGGTCAAAATCAAACACGTGACCTAAGGCAGCCAATCATATTACGGCAATGGATACCGCCTCGTAAACAAAAACTTTTAGATTTAGACAAAAGTTTTGGGTAAAATAATGCTATTCTGAACATATTAAGTAAGAAATCGCTACCTATACGTAAATTATGGAACTTATTCGACTTATCGTGCTAGGCTATGACCTGTGACAAAAATGCTTCATGTATATATTTTCGCATTAAACATCGTGTCCGAGAGTGAAGATTGAGGCGGCGAGCGAGAGCCGAGATGTGTCACTTGCTAGTGACTTGACTTACATTACATGATCGCACAAAAAGATGGACATAGTAATTTTATATTTTACGTTTGACAACTTTTATGAATGTTGTTGTTGATTTTTTTCATTAGTTTATTCAATTTATTTAATGAATTCCTCGAAACATCGTTACTTTACTCTTTGACAATGTTATTGTGGACCCGCTGCCGAAGCAGGTGTCCGAGAATCGTTGTTTTCAATAGCATTGCGTTTATAATTTTAATTCTGCTGATAATATATGATAAATTAAAATTTATTAAGTGTTTTCAGACATTGTGAAATGTGATAGATTTAATATATGAATCATAAGTCAGGTAGGTTCCTAGAATTATGTCTCATTTTGAAAGGAGATAACTCCATTAAAATCTGTGTACTTCGGACTACTGTATAATTCGGACTTTTTAGTCGGTCCCAAACTGGTCCGAATTAGACAGAGTGCACTGTACGAGATTTTCTCCTGTATCCATTTCATGTGCAGAATATTTTTCAGTGCTGAGAAAGTATATACAATTAATACATGAAACACAGACGTACACATGTACAATAATGCACATATACACATAAACGCACGATGTATGTGCATACAAAAACGCACGATGAATGTAGAATTTACACTCTTGCATTTGTTATAGATATTTAATGAATTTAATAGTAGTTAAAACGATATCAGTGATGGCTGTTTGGAATGTATGTGAAAAGCCCGAACTGTATAATAATATTAAAGTGTGCTGTTTTTATGCAATATTTCTAACTGTAGCATTAAGACCATAACTTAGACGAGTACTACATGTACAAATAATATAGTGACGGCTTTTGTACAATAACCAGCATGCATGGAATAAACAAGTAACGTACAATAGAGGAGAAGCTAGCGATAGGTAATAATTGTTAAATAAAATCAAATTTTGATTATTCTTTAAATTTGGTTGTTTCATCTATACATTGATGGACATAGTAAAAAAGTGACTATTTTGTTCTTTGGAAAGAGTTTAGTTAGAACTTAGAATTGTTTCTAAATTGGGCTAAGCTCCTATTTTCGTAATATATTGACGAACAAAGATTAAAGCATATTGATTTTCTTACATGGAAGAAACTATTGAAAAGCCTCTTGTCATTAGGAAAATGACTTTGCAACCTTGTTGCTCTGGCAAAAAGAACGGTCATGTTAGGTTTTTTAAATAGGTTATAATTTGAAGTAGTTGATCTTAAAAAAGTTCAGGTATGAACCATTTTGTACTGTCGTTGGTTTTATTATTTTTCATCTCTCTTTAGTGGTAGCCCACTTACACTGGATGCAAACTTGGTCAATTTTTGAAACAATTCCAGTAGCTTCAAACTGTATTGACCAAAGTCTATTTTCATTTAAGGATGAACAAAAAGTACTTCCTACTGATGTAGGAGTAGCTCTTGATTTAGCCTTTCTTCAATTATAACCACATGAGAAGAACTGTTGCTGCAATTTGTATAATGCACCTTTATGCCATACCCTGTCGGGTACCTCGTATAAAATATTCCAGAATACCATAAAATGTATTTATGACCATTATGGGAATTACAAATGTGATGAACAATGTCGATACATTGATATGTAGTATAGTTGTGTGGTACGAATCGTGATTGATACATGGAAAATAGTTTAATCTCCGGAAAGTAAATATTCATTGGTTTAAAGATAAATCGCTCAAATAATTGTTTGCGTCATGTCCCCATAGCTGGAAAGATAGTATTATGTCATGTTTTGTGCAATGGCACTACATTTGCTCGTTTCCACTGTGATTGGAATGTGATTTGTTCAAGAGATATATTGAAAAAACAAACATACATATAGATGTTTGGCTATGGATAGTGCTAGATTTACAAAACAGGGAGTTTATGCGATCTGTTACTTCTTCATTTTCGATAACGGTATAAGCCAGTTTATGATCATTTATTTTAACAATCGTGGCGTATCCATCATCAACACTGGAAAATGACGTAAAGTAATCGTTATAAGCTACAGCTTCATCAATATCTGAGATTGCTCCAGGTGCTATGGGATAAGGGTGCTAGCTCCAGAATCTTGGGTCAAGTGACGCAGAATTTTGCACTAAACTGTTTGAGAGGCATTCTAGAAGTTGTAAGCAATAGGAATGACAAGTGTTCATGGGTGATCAACTTCTTTATTGTACAATGGCGACGTTTCGGTATAGATGCTTATACTGTTTTGTGAAAACGGTATAAGCATCTACACCGAAACGTCGCAATAGTAAAATAAAGACGTGGATCATCCATAAACACTTGTCATTCCTATTTTCAACTATTTAGAGCTGTTTTGTTTTATTTTAGTAGATAAACAATCAATCGACGTTTTTATAGAAATTTTCCCTGGCAGTTTTCTTCAAATGATTATATTTCTTGGTTCTCTATATTCAGATAAACCCTATTCGTTGCATGTTAGTCTAGCTTTTGTCTCCGTTCCCTCTCCGATGTATATTGCCCTGGGTAGTTCACTATCAAACCATGGT